AGGGCTGAGACTGGAGTCTGAGTCACCCCCTTCCTCTTCCATCTCACATCCTTTCTTAGCTCCTCTTCTTCCTCCCACTCCACTCCCCCCTTGGTAGTTCCAGATGGGGACGTTGAGTCCATCCCAAGAGCATTGCTGGGGAAAGTGCGATGGGCTCAGGCTGCCGTCCATCGCAGAGTGGGTCTACAGAGAGACACCGGCAGCCATCACGGAACTGATCCCAGGCCTGTTCACTGCATGAGTCCGCATTAGCATTTCTCGAGGGGACCATAAGCCGGTTTGCGATTACAACTGTGGGGGGGAATAGAAGACAATATAAGTTTATTTTAAAAGTCTTCTATTTATTTGAATGGCTTTTAAGAAGCAGAAGCCCATGTTGCAAAACTAAGGTATAGGACAAGCATGAGGAGTGAGAGGGATCCACACGGACAAGCATGCAGCACCCTTTATCACGTGACTGGGTAAATGCTGCAGAGCCAGACAGAGCTGGGCCTGGGGAGGGCTGATAGCAGACCAAGGAGGGGCAAAGCTGGGAAAGGTATAATCAGCCTTCTCCCCAGGCAAGAGAAGTCACACAGATGAGGAAGCACATGCTCCAACCGTTTAAGGAGGCACTTGGGAGGTTTACCAGAAAAAGCAACCCAAGGAGGTTAGGTTATAAGGAAGACCAGGCAGCCCACATTTGCAAAAGATAGAAGTAGAGCTTTCATAAAGCAAATGGTACAAAACAGGGTTTCTGACAGGTAGATACAAACACACCATGTGTAGAGCCTTCATTTCCAATCTTGTTTTAAATTGGAGGTACCGAGATGCTTTTAAGTAGAAACCAGAAGTTAAGGATACGTGTGCTCTTAAGTTGATAAAGAAGTTCGGATGTACGGAGTTTAAAACACACAAGGGATGAACTAGGTTATCTCCAGGGTCTCTTAAAGATCCCAAACTCTGTGAGTCTGAGTGTAATATTCTTATGTGCTCTGTTACTTGGTTCTGAAGAACCCAATTCACTGGACCTGGGCCAGAGTGTGCAAACTGGAGACTCGAGGGCTGGATTTAGCCTGCAAGATGTGTTTTACTTGGCCTGCACAGTGTTTTCTAACTCAAAACAGTTGCCAACATTTAAAAGTCCAGATTTCTAGCCTCTCTTGAAAAATGGGGTGGAATACCCAGCACCACCACACTGCATTCCCACATGGCAGCAACCGTGTCAGACGACAGAGTATGTTTTGCATTTCACCCAAGACCCTGCCTAATCCTCTTGGCTCATTTCTGTTTCCTGCCTGGCCCTTGGAGGCATCAGGGTTTGTGACCTGGCTCAGGCATCCAGCGTGTGGTGACCTCGTGGCAGCTACAAGCCTAGCCTTGAGGCCTTTACCTTAATTCCGTGGCAGACCCATGTCAACAGTTGGGCATGAAGGTGTATTCACCCACAGGCCAGGAGTGTGGGAATCAGTGACCCCAGTCTGCAGAACTTCGGTTTGTCTTCCAGGAGCCTCTCACTTTGCAGAGCTGAGTAACTGAACAGTTGCCAGCCATATTTCACTTTCATAAATTGAATCCCAAAGGCCTCTGGGGGATGGCCCATCAGGGAGATACTTTCTGATCAAGGCCAAGCATCAGTTACTTCTGGGCCAGACTAGAACACCCAAGCAGAGGAAGGAATTCCAGTGTAGGCTGGGCTGGGCGAAGCGGGCAGGGAAGAAGGCAGCTTTCCTATCCAGGGCCATGAGATGACCAGGGCAGCTAGGAACAGTTGGCAGGTTTTACAGATGCCTAGGAAGCACCACTCATGTCACAGTTAATGTGAATGGCTCCATCTGCATTTATGCAGTGCACAATCTGCCCAACTGTACATGTTGGCCCTGGACTTTCAGAGGAAAGGAAGAAACAAGTAGAGATGGTGAAGCTGGTGCAGCCAAAAAGGGTGTCCTAGCACAGATTTTCCCACTTCCTTCCCAAAGCTGCAGGGATTAGGGGTGAGAGGCAGAGGGTTAGGACCAAGACCTTGTTGGCCAGAGGCTATAAACTGGAGAGAAAGATGAGGGGCCTGGCCTCAGCAGCTCCCACACTGCGCATGTGCAAATGCCCGTGAGATGACAGGAATAGCCAGAACTAGTCCCAAGAAGCAGGGCTGGCCATCAGTATGTGGAGCCCAGGATGCTTAGTTAATGGAGATAACCATCTTGTACACACACACGCACACACACAGTTGTCAGCAGAGATATCTGACCCATGACACACACCCACATAAACATGCATACGTACACAGTTTTTATCCTGTTGCACACACTCATGAGTGTGTCCATACACACATCACAGTGGTTGTTGGTAAGAGTAATCAGCTTGTCATACAGGTGTGTTTAGCAAACATTTTCATAGCACTTAAAGTCCTTTTCGGCTAAGCTACCTGCGAGAGGCCAGCGCAGCACCAAGTAACATGGCAGGAGAGAAAAATAACCCAGTGAATAAAACCAGTGAGGCCAGCAGCTGAGTGCTGGCCTGCAGTGCCACCTACTGGCAGGAGGGGTGTTTGTACTTTGCTTGAAGATGGTGAAACCCAGGACAGTTTCTCAGGCATCTCTTCTAAGGAAGCCACCAACCACAGGATGCCATTGTCCCTCCTCTTTGTGTTCTGCCTGAGTGGGGTGAGACCCTGGCATCCTCAGGGTGGCACCACAGCATCAGAGAATGAACATTCAGGGCCTTGCACGCCACCCGTAGAGCAATACCCAACACCAAAAAGGACAGCAAAATAGGTTTTCATCCTTCATGTAGTGGCTGCCTGGAATGCTGGGTTGAGAAGGATTCTGAGGCCAAGTCTAGACTTAGCAGAGAAGAGCATCATGATGGAACAGCGACATCAACCATGGCGGTAGGTGGGACTGCTTCCGCACTTGCCATTCTTGCAGTGGATCCTGGAACCTTGGTAAATCCCCCAATCTGCAGGGTCCTAGATTTCTCCTGACCCACAATTCCATCATGAGGTATGTGTGTTTGTTGCTCACACCCTCATACCACAAGAAAACTGCCATTCCATCTTTCACTGGAGTTTTATCTCTTGCTTGATCAGAAACTTCTGAACCAGCAAACGCCCTCACTGGGACCATCTTTGTGAACAACTTCCATCTTGCTTCCACAGAGAGCATATGGATGACATGTCAGATTTGAGCACTGAAGTCAACGCTGGGCAATTCACTTTAGCCAAAACTAATATTTAGCTAAGGCCCATCCATCTACCGGCACTTATCGCTTCCCGAGAGGCCCCGTGAGGGCAACAACAAGTTGAGAACAACAAAGCCGCACTGAGCAGATGCTGGACAGCCAGCTGGGCTCAGCCCCAGACAGGGGCCCTTCTCCCTGCCCCTCACTTATCAGCCTGGGAGGGCACACGCAAGTCAAATTTGTGCATCAACAACATTTCAAATTACAACTGGCCGTGGGTCACTTGAAAATAGCCAAAACTTGACATCTTAAATCCTCAGATGCCAAGGGTCTGCTATGTTTAACATCAATTCTGCAATCCTCTGCAGCCCTAACAATGCTCACAGATGGGCATGGAGCTCCCACGTGCTGCCCAGTCGGCGATGGAGCCAGCCTCTACCTCCAAATGCTTAGGTGGATGTGAGCTGGTCTCTCTCACTGAGGAGTGGGCCAGGGATGTTTGCCTTAGCCCAGGGGTCAGCTAACATTTTCTGTAAAGGGCCAGATAAATATTTTCAGCTCTGTGGTCTCTATTGAAACAATTCAACTCTGCTGTTGTAGTGCCAAAGCAGCCGTAGACATATGCAAACAAATGGGCAGGGCTGTGTTTCTTTACAAAAACAGGTGGTGGGCCAGATGTGGCCCAAGGAACTGTAGTTTGCCAACCCTGCATTAGCCCAATACAGGGTCTTCAGACTGGGTTCCATGGAACTTGGGGATGTTTGGAGGTGCTTCAGGGGATCTATAAATATTTGGCTCTAATTTAAATTATTCTTAGCTATTTAGAAGGCTATAACAAAAATGTACCCACTCAAGTGTATTATAGCATTTTAACATGCAGGAGGTCAACATGTTAACTGACTGGCAGGTGAATTCCTTTGTTGTGAAGCTTCTATTGCCACCTCTACGCACGTATATGGGCCACATGGCAAATGGTTAAGAGCCTGGGTCCTAGCATCAGATACACACGAGCTCGAGTCCTCGTGCTGCCACTTACTAGCTGTGTGACTTTGGACAAGCTACTTTACCTCTCTAAACCAGCATTGCCAGGGCACCACCAAATGGAGTGGACACTGGCCATCATGCTGGTGCAGCCTTCTGGAAGCCCATTTAGCTGGATCATGGGAAGACGCAGCCATCACAACGGAGGGGGCAGGGCAACTGAAGCCATTCACGGGCACCCAGGACCTCAGGCCAGTGCTATTTTCCAACTGTTATGGAGGCATTTCAATATTTTAAGCACCAGTTTGGCTGTACTGGTGCACACCAGTTGAATATCATTATAACGCCAGATCCATCTTGGATTTGAACTTCTTGCTGGTTTTGATTTCTTCTGGCGTTTTCTGCTGCATCTCCACCATTCCATTTGGGCTCTCAGGAAGGGGAGGGGGTTGTTTTGCAACCATCTCAGCAGTCTCTGTGCGCAGTGACAGGGCTTCTGTTTTTCTGCTAAGTGGCAGTTTCCATTGAGTCCTGGACTTCGTTGGCAGCATTTCCTGGGAAGTGTTCTGCAGGACTTGCAGAAGCAGTGCTTTCGGCTACAGGGGTCCAGATTTCGGGAGCTGTGGCCCCTCCACCCAGCGCTGCTGTCCACAGCCGGGCCTGGGTTTTTAATTTGGCTGGGGATATAATACACGATGCTCCTCGCCCCAGGGCTCCTCCTCACCACTTGAACCAATCAGAAGATGTGTCAGGCTGCTGCCTAAGCCTGCCCCGAGGACTTCTGGCCTTTTATTCTAGCCACTGAAAGCTTTTTTCTAGGCCTGAGATGCTCATTTATGGCTTCAATAATAGAATTTGGACTGTCTATGTCTATTAATGGTGTCTATGTCTGTTAATGGTGGCTCCAGTGAAATCCATAATTTTTATGGCACCTTATCTTTCTGCTTCCAGCATCATATTTTCCTGCTTCCTGGGAGACCTAGAAGAGTCAGGTGTTGATCACTAGACTCTGGGGGCAGGACCTCGTGGTTCCCAGGATCCCTGGGGTTTATCTTAATTAGGTGACATCTGGTGCTGCCTTCACAGTGCATGTGTGGTCACCACAGCCTAATGCCATTCTGTGGGCCACCAGCTGGCTCTGTGGGCCCTGAAGGCTCATCTGAGGGGGTGATTCTTGGGGCAGGGGGGCAAGAAGCCTTTCCGCGGTTCAGCCAGGAACCAAGGTGACTTGGGTTGAGCTGTCCTCACTTCCTTTTCATTTCCTTGAGGTTGTTCTTAGGTCTCACAGTACCTCCTGGCTGGGCTTGGAGCACAGGCAGAGGAAGGAGCTCAAAACCAGGCCCTCTGCCCTGAGGTCTCCTCTGTTGGCCAGAAGGATCCTGGCTGTGGATGGAAATGAACTTGTGCAAAGACAGCTTCATCACCTGCCCTTCCCCTGCTAAGGCAGTCAGCGGTGGGCGTCTGCCCCAGGCACTCAGCACAGCCTTGCCCTTCTTCCCCAGGACCAGCCCCTTGGTGGCCTCCAAGAGGCCCAGCTGGACTGGGCTGATAGTGAAGCCCAGCCCAGCACTTCTCTTCTGGCCCAAACTCTGCTCATTTCAAGAACCACTTCTGTCTTCTCTCTTTCTCCTCCTTCCTGGATTATCTTTCTGCAACTACTACCCTGCCTTACATTGCTCAGAACCTGCGCCCATTCAGACCCTGGGCTGAGTGCTCAAAAGGACAAAGATCAGGCTCCAGGTGGCCCTTCACCCCCTCTTCTACCCTCACAAGCATTCCAGCTCTCCTGCACACACCTCCAGACTCCTGCCCCCTCTGATGATACCTTCAGCTGTCTTCACAAAGTGCTTGCTCACAGCTAGGATTCCCCCTGGGAGCCGGGCAATCAGTCCCCACCACAGACATCTGCTCACCCCTTCTGGATCTTCCACCGGGACCTTCCTGGTGCTCCCACCCTCCCTCTGGAGAGAGTCAGGCTGGTCAGCAAAAGAGGAGGCTGACTCATCCAGCAGTGAGAGTTCTCCCCCGGAAGGGGGATGAACGGGCTCCTGCAAGGGTGGGGAATTCACCAGTGCACCGCAAGGGGAGGTCACCTCATCCTGGAGTCCCTTGCATAGCATCCCAGTGACGGAGAGCTCATTACTTCCACTCATGGTCCCACAGCTGGAGAATCTTGCTAGTGCACATTTCAGCCCCTTCCTCTCTAACTGGTCACTCCCTCAGACTAGACCTCCCCACGTCACCGCAGGCAGGCCTTCCCTCGGGCTCAGCCTGAACATCCTCCCACTTCAGCCACTGAGCTTTCTCCCCTACATTTGGGTCCACAACAGTAAAGCCCGATGCTCTGCCTCTTTCCCCATTGGCAGAGCTTGGCAGCACAGCAGGAGGCAATAATTGAAGGAGTAAGGGCTGAGGTGAGGGGGCTGGCAGGCAGGAACAACTGAACTTGGGCTAAAGGAAAAGCAAAGGAAGCACTGAGCAGGCTACCACTAAAGCGCCTCCCCAGGAAGAGCCTGCAGTGCCCCCTGCTGGCTGGAGGAGAGTTTGCATGCAGGTGAAGTGCACCCCCTCACTCCTTTCACAACCCCTGCACCTGGCAGCTGACCCCTGATGGCTTGGATTAGAGGATCACAGGAAGCGGATAAGTCTTTTTGTCCAGTGGTTTCCAAACGTGTAAAATTATAGGTAGGATTGCTGTGGACGATTGTGCATTTTGCCATTTGACAAAGGCCTCTGGACTATGGAGCCAGTGGGGGCTGAAATCCAGCCTCTATCCTGCTAAGCAAGCTGTGTATCCCAGTGTGGGTCTGGGGCAGCCCAGAAGAAGGGCTGTCTTTTCATAATTCATTCTAGAGACAGCGTCCTTCTGTAATTTGCACAAAGTTGCCATATATACCAGCAGCAGCTCCGGCACAGAATGCTTCCTTCAAAGAGGGCACTCTGATAAAACCAAGCTTCTTTCGGTAAAGAAGAGTTTGAAAACCACCTAAAAGATGGGGAAACCGAGGCCTATGAATGGAAGGGACTTACTCAAAGTCATGCAGTTAGTGCCAGGACACAGCTTAGAAGCCAGATCCCTTCTCTCTCAAAGAAGTGTTCTTTGTACTACACTGAGCTAATTTTCATCCTAAGCCCCTTTTGAGGCATCCTGGCTCCTCTGACCCTCCCACCCTTGGTCCCATCAACTTCCCCTTAAATTCAGCAGCTCTGCACAGTCTTACTTTCCTAGCTAGCGTCATGGCACAGTGCTGGCCCAAAAGAAGGTCTGGAAAAGTGCCAGTCCAGTCTCCATAATTTCCTACAAGTACATCACGCATAGGGATGAGGGCAGACATGCAGAGTGGTGAGGAATTAGAAGGGTCCACTGGATGACGTGCCAAAGAATGACAGGGAGCTGAGCCTGGAGCAATGTGGGTCATGAAGCTGGTGGCTCAGCTACTGTGTAGATGGGGCCGGCTTTGTAGGTGCAGTCCGCCGGGGTGTCTGTGCCACGCCGTAAGGTACATGAGCAGCCACTGTGCCCATCTCCTGAGCCCCAGCCACATGGAACATCTGGTCATCAAAGAAGATGTGTGGGCGGATCTTCTCAAGGAGGGGGCCCTTGGGCGCTCCTGCAAGGAACAGGGCCTCATCCGTCTCCAGGCCCCAGCTACGCAGGGTCTTGAGAGCCCGGGCCCCAGAACTGGCTGCGCTGCGTGCTGTTACCAAGTAGGTGCGGATTGGGCACTCCAGGCGCAGGCCCTTGGAGTAGAACTTCTTCTGCAGCCTACCCAGCGCCTCCAGAAAGCCCTTTAAGGGGCCCTATGAAAAGGCAAGGGAACACTGTGAGCTCATTCCTCCCCGAGTCGTGTGCCCCCTCTCCAGCTGGGATCCTACTTAAAGTACTAGTGTCTTACTGTTTGGGGTGGGAAAGCTTCTCAGGATCCCTAAATCTCTCAGTTCTGCTATGCCTGCTCAGGCCACTGTGTGCATCAATGGGACTGTAGGTACCTATGTCGGTCTGGGTATGAATACTGCTGTGACTGGGGGTGTCTGTGTCAGAATAACCATACCAGGGCAGCTGTTACTATATACGTCCATCCACGTGCCCCCAGGTACATGGGAGCCTGTCCTGCAGCTCCGTAAGTGTGGCCTTCTGTGCCCATCAGCGGGGAAAGTATTAAAAATAGTTAGTAACTATGGCATGGGCACCCTCCAGTCAGAATGGACTCCAGCTGCAAACAGCTGGGACAGACAGATGAATGCGTAACTGCTGAATATTGACCTGCCCCTGGGGCACGCAGGGGTCTCAGGGCATCCTGCTCCCGCACTCTAGGGTCAGGGAAAGGATTTACTCTCTACTGTGTCTGGAACAATGAAGCTTAATTAATGAGGACATGTGAATAAAGAACCAGATGATGAGGAAGAAGAAAACTAACAGCAGCTGGAAATAAGATGGGCTTCTAATCTTGGAGAGCCCTCACTCGCCGGGTGACCGGGAGCAAGCAGTGGTCTCCTGGGCCTCTGCTCACCACTTAGTGGAAAAGCTGTCCTGCCCTGGATTCCCAAGGATTTTAGAGGAAACCAATAGGAACAGAAGTGAAATGAACACTCGGGGGCCACAACTGAAGCCTGCTGAGCTCTTGGAGAGAGGGACTCTGGGATTATTGAGTACCGAGATTTTTGTTAAAAGTACAGATAGCCGCTCCCAGCAGAGCTGGGGAATCCCAACAGCTCCAACCCCAGGGAATTTCCACCAAGTTCTAGGGCATATTCTGCTCTCAGAGAGACTCCAAGCAGTTTGAGGGTGAGTGAGGGTCCCTGAGCCCCCTGGCCAAGGGATGGATGGGACCCCCTGGCCAAGGGATGGATGGGGATGGGGAAGGGCTGGTGTGGCCCAACACCACACACCCGCTGGATCTCCCTGCCCAGGTGAGGGGTCCAGGCCACTTCCTTTCTTCCAGTGAGGGAAACAGGGGCTTCTTGAGAGGATGGGAGCCTACTCAGAGGGGTGGGAGAATCTCGGGGAGGGGACGAGGGTTCCAGAGAGAGGATGGCGGCTTCAGAGAGAGAGGGTGAGGCCTTCAAAGAGGGGTGGGGACTTTAGAAAAGGGACGGAGACCTCAGAAAGGAGACGGAGGCTTCAGAACGGGGATGGGGGCTTCAGGGAGGGGATGGAGACCTCATAAAGGAGCTGCAAAGAAGAGGTAGAGGCTTCAGAGAGGGGCTTAGAGACAGAAAGGGGGCTTCGGGGGGGGGTGGGCTGCAGTGAGGGGGATGGGGGCTCAATGAAGGGGTAGAAGCTCAGTGAGGGGATCCAGGGGTCAGGTTAGAGGGATGAGGGCTGGAGGTTTGGTGAGGGGACCTGGCTGGATTCTGGGCCAACCCTGGGGTTTGGGTCTGGGCTGGAGGGTTCTGGGGAGCCGCCCTGCTCCCCTCAGGGGTTCTGGGGAGTGTGTGCAGCACCTGGGCCAAAGGTTTGTTCTCGTGGGTCTTCTCGTGTTCGAAGAAACTGTCCAGCCCATGGGCCTTGACAATGCGCTCTGACTCGTCCGAGAAGAGCACTGCGTCCCCATCGAAGGCCACGCGCAGCTGACTCTGGCATACAGCCACGTCCCTGCTGGGGCTGAAGATGGTGGCGGCTGCGATCCCTGGGCAGAGAGAGGCAAGCGTTGTCTGCCTTCATCCAGGCAACAGGGGCCCCCTGACACCCACCTCAGCAGCCTGGGACCAGGAGGGAGCTATCTCCGGCTAACCTTGCCCCACCCGCCCCACTCAGGATTGGGGGCAAGGCTAAAGAGGGCTAATATTCAGAATATTTAAAAACTGGCTAATAAGAATGGATTGTGGCTTTTGCTCTGAGTGAGGCTCTGAGGGCCCGGGCCTGTGCCAGGGTTTCCTTTTTAGTTGCTGCTTTGTGGGAAGGTATGGGGGTGTCCCAGGGCACGGGGGGGCACTCAGAAGGCTCAAGGCAGGAGCTATCATCAATCAGTATGGAAAATTTTTAATACTTTAATATCTAGTAAGGTCATGCTGGTATGGACCAGCTGAATGTTAGTCCTGGCTGGAAGGAAGGGTCCCCCAGGCCACTGCTGTCCCAGGAGTTCCTCACAGGCCCCTGATATAGATCTACAGGGGGGCCAGGAAGAGCCCCAACCCTGGCTTGGCCTCAGTTATTCTCTTGCTGTTGATTCCAGCAGGCCCCTCCCCTTCTCTGGACCAAGGTAAAATTAAGGGCGTTTCAGCTCTGTCTGGGGCTGAGATCCCAGGCTGCAGTCTAGGGTAGGCTGAGTGTGTGTGGGCATCCTCAGTCTACCGCCACAGTGGTACCCATGTATGCCCTACCCAGGCTGTGGGTGGCCAAGGGAGGCAGAGCTAATTACATTCGACTGTGTGCAGACTCTCTGCAATCCTGGGCTTCCCTAGGGGGTCAAGGATGCCTGCTGGGAACCCAGGCTCCAGACTATAGCTGCAGTGGACAACAGAGAGCCATTGCTAGGAAGCTAGGGAAGTGGGCAGCTGGCCCAGTCCCTTCCCTATTCTTCATCTCTCCAAAGGCAGCTTCAGCCCTGCGCTTTGGGAATCTAGGATCATAGGGGCTGAGCTCAGCCAGAACTTTGGGAGGAGTAAGCAGTGCCAGTCCCACAGCAACTTCACTAGCCTGAGGTTGCTATAAGTAGGATCAGGCCCTGGGCATTGGGCCAGGCACCTTCTCAGCTCTGCCAACACCAGAGCCAAGATGAACCAGAACCACCCCTACCCTGGGCAGGGCCTCCCTCCTGACCGTCCCCTGCTCCCTAGCCTGAGCTCAAATTACGCATATATAGAGGCACACACGCAGGCCAGTGCCAAGGCCCCAAACAGAGGGTGTGACATCTGTCTAGGGAAATGGCTTCTGGTTCCTGGTTAAAGAAAGCCTCTTGGAGCCCCCAGCAGCTTAGAGGAGTGAGACATCAGGTGAGAGAGAGGCCAGGCTTCTAGGCAGGAGACAGCATGAAAGAGGAAGAGAAAAATGAATATATTGTTGATTGATAAAGAAACCTGTCAGCAGTGTTCAGCCTGAGGAGCCCTCTCAGGCAGTGGGGCAGTCCTTCCTCCCCTGTGGGCCTGTTTTCTTGCACATACGATAAGGATACACACCCCGTCAGGAGGACTGAGACTATGGATACCACCCCAAACTGCCCCTTGAAAGACACACATGGAGGGAAATTCTCTTCGTCAGTACTTACAGCTGGGTCTCCTGGCCTCACCGCAATGCTGGCCAGTCCAGCTGCTGGAAATGCTAGCCATTTCCCAGACCCCACTGCTCAAGCTGGACTAGATACTGATCTCCTTCCCCACTGGCCCAGAGAGGGGCAGAGGCTGCCCATGATCACACAGGACTCAGACCTCCTACTGACCTGGAGGATTCTAAGAAGGGAGTAGCTTTCTGGGCTGTAAGGAAAGTTTCCATGGAAACAGAAGGCTGGGTGATGCTGATGAGTGAAAGCATCCTCAACATGGTAGCACAGGAGGTGGGAGAGTGGAACAGACGGGCAATAAGTGGAGAAGGTGAGGTCTTATTCTCAGAGTTTACAGGACGGGTCATAGCAATTAAGGAAGGTGTGCCCCTTCCAGTTACCATGGCAAGCCCCAGCACCTGCTCAGAGCTTTAGGACCAGGCCTCCTACCTCTGGGACCCCTTTGCCAGACTCCCTACATTCTCCCGCCCCAGTTTGACCCACCTTCATCAATGGCTTCCCGCACTTTTTCCGCATCAGCAGACAAGTAGAGGTTGGTGTGATAGGCCTTGAGGTAGCAGATGGGGCTATTCCCACCTGTCATGCAGAACCTCTCGATGAACAGGTCTGGGGAGGAGGCAGAGAGTACCCAGGTGATGCCAGGGCCAGCCCTCAGGGCCTCAGAGTGGTCCCTCCATGTCCAATGGACGCCATCTTGGTTCTGAGTGGTAGTGGTGCAGCAGAGCGATTCTCTGAGTGATTTTAGGCTAGCATTCCCCCTTTCTGAGCACCCCCATCCCTCATCCATGAAATAGGGGTGATCTCATCTCTGGAGAAATTGCCTGGCTCACAGTAACATCCTCTCTCCAGGGAATGACGGTACTACAAAAGGTGGGTCCCCCAAGGCATGCCTGACCCTCCTGGCCATAGCTGGTTGGATAGGGGCAGGCACTTGACCCAAGCTGGGCCAGTCAGATTCTCTCCCAGCCTGGGCTGATCGTCACCTAGTACCCATGGCTGCTGGGTTGTAAAATATTTGCTGGTTGGTAAACGGCTGCTGCTCTGAGCCCACTGAGTTACCGCATCACTACTCCAGCCAGGCAGGACAATCGGCAACGGAAGGAGTAATGGCTGGCGCAGCAGGGCCCTTCAGGCCCCTGCTCCAGTACTATAGGTGGTGTCTGTCCTCGTTACTCAGTGTCTGTGTCACAAGGTGGTTAAATATTTTGAATATCACCCCTACTCCCAGCAACTTGAAATTACGATTAAAAATGCCTACTGCACTCTCTTGGTTGCTTAAAACAAGGATTTATAAACTCATAAATTTTGGCCATATTCAATTAAAGCAGAGAAACGGAGTTTGGGGAGAGAGAGAGAGAGACGGGGAAAAAAGGAACAGACTTGCTGAGAAAAGCAGAAATGTGGCCAAGAGAGAAAAGAGTCCAGCAAAAATTTCGAGTACTTGGATTCAGGCCTTTGTGAGCCCAATTCTACTTCCTGTCCTGTGGTTCTAAGAGACACTCCTGCAACCTGATAAGAAATTATTCTCTTCAGCTTAAGCTAGCTCTGGATAGTCTGTTACTTTCAATCAAGAATTTGAACTAAGACACAAAGCTCCTCCACTCTGATGACTGCACCTGCTTCTCCCAGCAGCCTTAAGGCCTGTTAGCCCCATTGCAGATAGAGAAACTGAGGCATGGAGGCAACAAGTGCCCTGGGAATGGAGCCTGCACAGTGGTGTGCTGGAGCTGGCTTGAGACAGCTTGTAGGAGCCGAATGTCAAATATTCAGCTTGAAATCAGCCATGGTGGGAATATTTACACTCTGAAATGGCAATGCTACAATCAGGGGCGTTTTTTTGCTGAGGAAGACTCGCCCTACGCTCACATCTGCTGCCAATCTTCCTGTTTTTTTGCTTGAGGAAGATCAGCCCTGAGCTAACATCTGTGCCAATCTTCCTCTATTTTTTGTATGCTGGGCACAGCCATAGCATGGCTAATGAGTGATGTAGGTCTGTGCCCGGGTTCTGAACCAGTGAACCTAGGCCACTGAAGCAGAGCACATGAAAGTTTAATCACTAGGCCATGGGACCAGCCCCTTGTTTTGTTTTTTTAAAGAGCCAGTTTACAGGCACAGTGCTGGGCTTGAGGTTCCAGCCAGTTTACCGGGCCCTGCAGAGGTGTGGCCCCGTCCCCAGGTGTCTGGTAGGGTTGTCCCATGGCCAGGCCCCTCGTGCTCACCATAGTGGTTGATACTGTTGATGAGACGGACACCCACTTGAGCGTGGTTGTTGGTCACAAGGACAATGTCAAAGAGGTCCTCACTATCAGGGTAGAGCTCCCGCAGCCGCCTGTTCACAGCCTCCAGAGCCTGGATGGGAGAGGGGACCCTCCAGCTCAGACCCCCAGGGACTGACAACTGGAGTTGGTAGCCAGGGTTGGGGAGGAAGGAAGAGCTGGGATCTGATGGGGGGAGGAGAGGGAGGTCAGGGGCCAGGCTTGGGGTGAGATCAGTGGACATGGACTGTCTTCCCCCAGTCTCGCCATTGTACGGGTTGATTATTGCCCAGGGGCACCTCACTAAAAGGGGTGAATGGGGCCTGAAATCCAGCCCATGTTCCACTCACCAAGCTGGTTACCTGGAGTGGGGCTGCATTAGTCCAGAGGATGGGGTGGCCTCTTCTTCTCACAATGGCTCTGTCCCCTTGCCAAGCCGTGCTCCTGTGGGGTGGCAGTTGCCCAGGGGGGCCCCTTTTCCTTACTCAAACACCCACGGGAGTGGTTTTTTCTAATCCCCACAAAGGCGCTGAATGGCTAGTGGTGGAACTGCCCCTCACCTTCACGAAGGGGAAGGCCGGCCCGGGACTGAAGGGCTCGTTCTCATGCTCCAGCTGGTAGCGCACATACTCCTCCACGCCCTGCTCCGTGTAGATCCGCTGCTCCTCCTCCATGCGGAACAAGGCTCGGGAGGACACAGCAATGGTGACTGCATTCTGAGGCTTGGGCTGCAGAGGTGCAGAGGAAAGGCCCTCACTCAGACTCCTCTGAGGTAGTTCTCATGTATCAACCCCTCCAGGGATTGGGGACAGGGAGAAGACCCAAGCCCAGCCTCTGCCCTCAGGAGGCTCAGCCTTGGGCAGAGGCAGACCTGGGTCAGGACCCCCTCTGTGCAGGACCCAGTTGGGGACTGAGGGACATGGTGGCTCCTCACCGAGGAGCATGATCAGATGGGAGGGACATGCCCTGGAGTGTTTGCAATCTAGTTGGCCATCTGGACACAACAGGAAAATGAATACAGTGTTTGTAGCCAGAGTATGACTGATGCTCAAGATGGTCTCCACATGGTTTCCATTATAAAATGAGAACTACATGCCCTTAGGAAGAAATGGTACCCAGAAACATGACAATCATATAAGAAAATTTATCTCCAGCCCAGATCTTTCCCCTGAGCTCCAGACTCATATCTCTAACTGCCCCAGTTGACTAACAGACACTGAAACTCAACATGCCCAAGGCTGAATTCCCGCCACCCTCTCCACCCCCAAACCTGATCCCCTTCCTCCTTTCCTCATCTCACTGCTCAGCACCACCATGCACTCACCTCCTAAGCCAGAAGCCTAGAAGTCAACCTCAAGTCTTCCCTCTTCCCCAACTCCCTCCCCCATCAATCAATCACCAAAATCTGACAACTCTACAATTCTAGTAGATTCGACTTCCACTTCTTTCTTTCTTCCCTACCATAGTCTAGGCCATCACCATCTTGCACCCCTCCAATCTGTCATCCATATTGTTGTCAGAGGATTTTTCTCAAGTTCATATCTGACCATGGCACCCCCCTTCAGTGGTACCCACTCTTCTCGAACTCTCTTCAGCAGCCTTGAGTATGGAGTAGAAAGCCCTTCACGACACACCCCCACCTCTCTCTCCACTCTCACCTTCCCATTACTCTGCTTTGCTCAATCTGACCTTTCTCATGCCCAAGCACACTTTCTCCCTCTTTCTCTGAGCATTTGTACATGACGTTCCCTCTGCTAGATCTGCTCTTTCCCTGAGTCTCCATCCAACTAATTTCTACCCAACCTTCGGGTCTCAAACTACATGTCGCCTCTAGGAAGACTTCCCTCACCCCCTGTCATGGGCTTGCTACCTCTCCTATGGATTTTCTTTTTAGTTGAATTTAACACAGTTATAATTGCTTATTTAGCTATTCCTATTTCTAAACAGAGTTCTAAGGAGGAAGCAGGAACTATGCTCAAGTTCTGAGGGAGCAGGAACTATGACTATCTTGTTCATTTAGTGTATCTCTAGTGCTTAGAACTGTGACTAGCACATAGTAGGTGCTCAGTAAATTTTTAATGCATCCAAACTTTTAAGTAATATATTTCAATAAGAAACAGTATTTGTCATGACAATATAACACGAACTAGAAACTCCAGTGCAGTGCCCTAATCTGTTCAGATTGCTTGATATATAGCAGGTACTCAGAGAATATTTTTTTGGTAGATGCAAATTTGACAAATATTTACTGGCTCTTTGTGCCAGGCATGTGGGCTTTGCCTGGGGGTGGTCCTGGTATAGACTTGGCTCTCGCCCTCAGAGTCACAGGCTGGTAGTGGGGAAAGACAGGTAAACAGAGATGCAAAAGGGACTGAAATGAGTGACAGACCACAGGTGAAAGCAAAGTCTTGGTGACAGGGGCTCAGAGGAAGTTGTCATGGGAGAGGAGCCTTTAAGGAGGAGGAGGGTGAAGGAAGGCGTGAGGAGGCACGCACCTACACAGTGCATTCACAAAGGTGAGCAGAGCCCAGGGCATGGGGGCATGAGTGTAGACAAGCCCAGAAGAGTAGGCAGGTGCTAGATTGCAGAGGGCCTTCTCTCAGGGCCCCGGGAGGGCCTCAGAGCTCCTTCACCACCTCTAGTGGAATGGGGACAGGGGCATGCCACCACAGACAGCAGCTGCACCCTTTATAATCCCCAGGGAGGATCAGAATGTGGGTGCCCAGGGGACTCACAGACACCCAGAGTCCCACCACATCTCTGTGACCTGAGCCGTCCTGGGACGACGATTCCCACCTTACAGATGACGACACAGGGGCTCAAGCTGGGGGCAAGACTCATAAATGGAGCTCACTTTCTGGCCTCTCCTGATAGCGCTGTGGGCCATGCACTCAACCCCCTGCTTCTCTCTGGAGTCAAGCCTGGGTCCTAATCAGTTGACAACAGTGAGTGATTACCATGTGACAGGCACTGGCAGGAAACAATACAAGTGTGATCCCTGCCCCCATGGAGCTTAGATCTATCCCCACTGCAGAGATTTGTGCCATCCTTTAGAGGAACACTGTCCAATAGACCTTTCTGCCATAATAGAAATGTCCAGTGCTGTCCGTGTGGCTACATGTGGCTATGGAGCAACTTGAAATGTGGCTAGTGAGACTAAGGAACTGAATTTTTAATTGTGTTTAATTTTAATCAACTTAAATTTAAGTAGCTACGAATGGCCAGCAGCTAGTGAAGCTTTAGAACCTCAAAGTAGGAATGGAAGACCAAAGAGTTCCCCAAGCTCATGAGGTGGACCTCGGTTTGCATTTGACTTTTACCCCAACCAAGATGGTGTATGTGGCCAGCAGGGGCAGTGGAAGGCAGTGCCAGGACAGGGCCTGTCCACTGGGGCTCAGCCCAAGTACGTCTCCCAGGTGCCAAGCACCCCCGTGTGTCTGTGTGTCCTTGAGCCGGGTACCTCCCAGCCCCCTTAGCTGCTGTGAGCCTTCAAGGAAAAAAGGTAAAGTTAAAAGATCTAAAGAAAAGGAGTGATAGAGGGATGGCTATGGATGGCAAGGGTGGGGTTGGGGGTGTGCAGAGGCCCACTCTCATAAACCCAGGAAGCCTGCTGGCCTCTAAGACAGGAGGTGAGCTTACCCCACCCCCTGGGCTTACTGCCCCAGGGACAGACCTAACATCTCTTCAAGGTCGGAGAGCCAGCTGCCCTCCCAGCCCCTTCAGGCAGGTTCCCAAGCTGGCTGCTCCCGCCCAGGCAGCCAGCCAAGGTCTCACTGCTCACTCTCTGTCCCACAGTCCCTTCCAGACTGCGGTGTTCTGGTCCCCTCTGGCTGACCTGCCCAGACCCCATCCTATCCCACCTCTGGCCATTACAGGAAAAATATCCCAGCTGCCTTGGCCCTAGGAGTCTCTACTTCCCTCTTTTACAGATGGGGAAATAGGCCCAGAGAGGGGCAGAGTGTTACACTAGGTCGCACGGCAAAGTCAAGGCAGAGCCAGATAATATCCCCAGTCTCTGGCCTCTAGCCTGGCCTCCACCCCCACAGCAGCTCCTCTGATGTGCCCCTCCTCAATCGCTGCCAGAAAATCCCACCCCCTGCTGCTTCAGCCACTTCCCTGGGACACTCTCCAGACACGGCCCTCCCTTTCCAGATTTGGGAGAAATGGTGAGGGGCTCCATGCCCTCAGACTGAGGTTTCTAAGGGCAGGGCTCTCTTTCTCCTCAGAATGGAGGTCCCCAGGCAGGACGCTGCCTCCCCGCTCAGCCTGCTCTGACACTGAACAAGTGAGGAGGAGTCTAAGGGCCGGAGGGCAGGAGCTGCTGTGGGAAATGCGGATCCCAGCTGGGAGAGACGAGCAGCCTGTGTGGGCTCCAGGTGGAGCTGAAGGAACAGGTGAAGGGGGCTGGCCAGAGCTGGGAGAAACCAAGTACTTAGAGACCCTCTGGACCCAGCTGCAGAGGGAGGCACCCCGTCACATGTTGTCAGGTGCACCTAGGGACAGTCCCTCCAGAAATCAGAAAGAAGTTCAGATTCGGGACCGGGAAGTGGGTCAGACAGACCCTTATCCCAGACCAGGCACTCAGCCTGGGAAAATTGGGCTCCAGGGAACCAGGGTCCTGCCAGCTCTGTCTGCCTTCCCCTGGGGCTGGGCAATGGGTGGGGGGATAATGGAGGGCAGCCCAGCCCCACCCAGCTTGCCTGAGGAGCTCTCATTTAGGCCGACATGATTCTGCCTCTTGGGCCCAAGATAGGAACATGGCCAAAGGCTATTATTTCTAGAAGGACTTAGAGGGAGAAGGGCTGCCAGAGGAGAGAGAGACAGATAGGTCCGGACTGAGGAAGTCCTCTGACGCCATGAGGTTCAGGCCTCCTACGGGCCTCAGGGATTAAATATTTCACTCAGGCTCCTGGGAATGAGAGTAAGGCCAGGCCAGGCCCAAATTCGGCCCATGAGGCCCAAAACCCCCAAAGGGAGGGAGGAGGGGCTACTGCAGGAAGGAGTAGGGGCCAGGAAGCTGCCAGGCTCCTTGCCTCCCAGAGAACAGTGAGGGTTGGGGGCCGACCGAGAGGTCATGACTGACAACCGGGCCTGAGCTCCCAGGTTCCTTAGTGCTTGGGGAGGAAATAGATTATGAACTCCACTCACCACTCTAGTCCCCAACGTCCATCCCCTCCTCTCCATCCCCCAGGCCATGACATTAGTCCAGCTTCCTCCTCAGGCAGGGACCAGCCTCCTCACTGGTCTGCCTGCTGCCAGACACACCCTCTCCAATCCATCCACCCCACCGCCCCAGAGTGATCTTTCTAAATGAAAATGGGACCAAGTTAATCCCCTGCTGAAAAATCCTGCAATAGCTCCATAATGGTTTTCATACTTTTTTAAAAAGTAGGTTGACCTTTTATTCAAATGAAGTCTTGTAATATGTAAAACAGATATTACCCTATTTTATTGGTATAAATTTATTTTACAAATTCAAATGTATTACATGTACATGTTGTATTTATTTTAATGTCAACCAATGAAAATAGCGCAGTTGTTCCGATGACGACATTTGAAACTGGGGGCTAGGATGCCAGTGCAGCCTTAAGTTTCATCACCTAGTTAATGTGTTTCTGCGTTTGTTCGTTTATTGCACAGTGTTGAGAAAGCCCTGATTCACACCAATAAGTGGTTGCAAATGGTAAAAGGTTTTTTTTGTTTTGTTTTGTTTTAAACTGCAAGTCTCAAGAGACTCAGTAATCTCAAAATACTCTTTTATTAAACAGATCACAAGAAAAGCTTTATTCTGAGGTTTGCTAAAAAAAAAACAAAGCAAACAACTTGCCGCATAAGTTAATACGTTGATGGTCTCCAAGGTGATAAATGTCCACATAATACATTTGAGTGAGCTGAGTTTTGTTACACATTTTTAATTGTTTAAAACGTAGTTTGAAGAAGAAAGAAAATAAACTGGATTCACAGGTGTGCAGAACCCCCTGCAACAGGGAGCTCCATGGAACCTAGTTTTAAAACCCCTCACCCCACTAAATAAGGTCCAGGCTCCTTACCCCGGCATTCAAGGCCCTCCATGGGTCCGTGGCATCCCTCCAGCTCTTCTCCCAAAGATTCTGCATTCTCCCACTCAGGTTCAGAGACATCTCCAGGCCTTTTCCCCATCCTGTTCCCCTCTCCGCCTGGGAAACTCCACCTACTCAGGCTTTAAGATCAGCTCAAATGCCACCTCTACAAAGCGTTCCTTAGTCGGTAGTCACTCCCTCACACCACGTCCAGGGTCTCCCTCAGTGCACTGTGAGCTCCAGAGGCAGGGACTCAGCCTCATTCATCACTCAATCCCCACTGCTGAGCAGAGCCTATAGGTGCTACAGGGAATGACTGTTGACAGGGTGGCCTTCCTGGGGAAGGGTCTTTGGAAGGAAGCAGCAGGATGCTTTAAGGTCAGGCTCTTTGGAGGATGCTCTGAGCCAGCCTCTATCCTCTGTTCCCTCCTCAAACTCTGAAATCTGGGAAGCTGGAGTGAGCAAGGCCCAAGGCCAACCAGAGCATCATGAACTTGTCCGATGGGGGGAGGAGCTCTCCCCTTTGTGTGAGTCCCGGAGGGCTGAGACCACCACGGGGGTTCCGGGAATGTTGATGCCCACTGCGAAGGGAGCAGAGCCCCGAGCTGGGGCGCAGAGTCCAGCGTTGGGAGCCGGGATACGAGGGGCGCGGAGCGCAGATCCCGTGCAGCTCCCTTCATTTAGGATGCGGGGAGCGGAGTGCCCCAAGCCCAGAGCCTGAACGCAGAGGCTCAAGTCTGGAGCCTGGTGCCCCAGACATCAGAAACCAGAGCACACAGCATGGAGCCGGTTTTCCAGAGTCGGGTTACCCGAGTCCGGGGCGCTTCCGCAGATGCTGCTGACCGGCTTTGCCAACAAGTGCTGTCCGCACGCCTCAGGCTGCGGGCGCGGGAACGAGCTGGGCCCTGATGACAGCATGGGGGAGGGGGATCCTGGCGTGGAACCCGAGCCCCGGAAAAAAACAACGCCGGAGCAGAGCTCCTAAAATAAACCCGAGCCCGTGCCAACGGCCGGGCGCATTCGGGAGCTGAGGGGCTGCGTCCCCTCCTAGAGGGGCGCCGCGAGTCCCTCTCCAGGGGGCTTACGACCCCTCTCCGGGTGACCCTTCCCCTGCCCTCCTCCCATACCCGTGCCCTGCTTTTACCGATTTGGGTTTCTTCTTGGGCGCGAGGTTGTCGTAGAAAGTCTTGGCTTCCTCCCATTGCGGGGCCGCGGCTGTCTCTGCCCCCGGCCCGGGCTCGCGGGGTTCCCGAGGCTCCCCGGGTTCCATGCTCCGGCTCTGACCTGTCTCGGCCAGAGCAGGCGGCGGCGGAGGAGACGCGGAGCTAGCGGGCCTGGGCTGCAGAAGGGAGGTGCGTCCCGGGCGTGAGAAGGGGGCGGGCAGCGGCGGGGAGTGTGTGCGCGCCAGCCGGGAGGGAGGGCGTGGTGCTGGGGGGGGAGTGGTGGGGTGCTAAACTCGCCCTACGGTTGCCCGTGTGTTTCTGCTGTTGTACGTATATTTCGGGATAGCTGAGCTCTCCTTCCCCGACCACTCCACGCCCGAAGTGAATGGGGAATTGGCCTCTCGGGCTCTCAGGAGGAGGGGCCCTAAAGCGGGGCTTGGGGCTGTTGCGGATTCAGGATTGCGGGGATCGTGTTCTTCGCAGGCGCTCACGTGCACCGAGAGAGGGGAGACCTGACAAATTTTTCCCCCCAGCATAGTGATTCCCAAAGGAGAAAATGAAAATTTAGCCCCCCCCCCCCCCACAAAAAAGAGCTAGCCTCCCTCTTTCCGCTCTGATCCTAGGACCCTGGGACCCTGAGCGGCGTCCCCTTCCCTAGACCCTAGTCCATTCCGTGGACAGGGACGAGGTGGTGGATGAACAGCTCCATGAGCAGGAACCTGCTCCTAGCCGGGCTCACAGTGGAGGGCCCAGCTGGACAGCTCTTCCTCACTAAAGTGAAGGGGCCCTTGAGGTCTGTGGCGAGACCAGGCTCCCCTCCGCCTCGCTGGTGACCCAGACCAGAGACTCCCAAGGACGCTGAACCCGGGTTCTTGCTGGCCCCTTGATGACCAGCAGAGGACGCTCACTCCCAAGTCCCACCTGCCGAGCTTGGGGTGGTTAGTGACATGCTATGAAGAGACTGGATGCAGGGAGGGTAGAAAAGGAATTCTGCAACCATGGAATCTTGGACCACAGTCCTGGAGTTCCAGGGCATTGTCTCCCTTGGTGCAGACCCCGAGGTGCAGACACTAATGCCACCCATCCCAGGCACAGGCCAGGAAGCAGACAAGGGGCATCTCTTTGTGAGCCTAGAAGTGTGCACAGGTGGGTGGGAGCAGCAAGAGAAAATACTGGCTTAGCCTGGAGGGCATCTGACTGGGAGCGGGTACAGAATGGCCAGATCTGTCCAGCCTCCACCAGGTCTTGGGAGAAACCAACCAAACCTTGTGTGGGAGGAAGGGAAAACAACAACAATAATAAAAAGTTTTAAGATGGGGGGAAGTTTGTTTAGACTTGCCCTTCTCCAGCCTTAGTAGACAGTTTCCATAGATGGCCTCAAACTCTCTCCCATCTCCCATGCCTACCTTTTGGCAATGTGACCTTGACACTCCTCCCATCCAGAAGTGGAGTGGAGTTTGAGTTGACCCAGTGTCTTGCTTTGACTTGCTTTGACTAACAGAATGCAGTAGAAGTGATGCTATGTGGTTTCCAAGCTTAAGCCTTAAGAGGCCTTGCAGATTCAATTTTGCCCTCTTGGGAGCCAGTTTCTATGTAAAGGAGTCTGGACTCTCCTGCCGGATAGGCCAGATGGTGAGGCAGAGAGTCCCTGGAGGATAAAAAGCTGGTGGAGAACAGTGGTTTCCGAGGTAACTGTCAGTACCAATTGCCAGTCATATAGGTGAGGCCATCTTGGCTGTTCTAGCCCCAGCCCCAGTGGGATGTCGATGAGTGAGTGACCCCAGCCAACAGCACACGAAGCAGTAAACCTCCCAGCTGAGCTCAGCCAACCCACAGAATCGTGAAAAATAATGGATTGCTGTTGTTTTAAGCACTAAGTTTCGGGGTAGTTTGTTACGCAAGAATAGATAATGTAACTCCAGGAAGGGGTCAATTATTCTCAGATGCCTCATGGAGGAGGAGGAGGTCCCTTAGGAGGAATGTATGGAGTGGTTCTTTGGATGGGGGTGAGCGCCTAATGCAAAGGTGAACCTTCCCCATGCTGTCCAGTGACCTTTGACCTGTGTGGCCTGAGTTGAAAAGATGATCTGGGCCAATCAGATTTCTCTTTCTCAGGAATTTGGCATTGGGAAACAGGTGCTGGATAGTCAACCACAGGAATAGAAGCTGCAGATGCTGTGAAACACAGGTGGCTTCTAAGAGACTTGGATGAGCCTTAACAAGCTGCAGTTATGTGCAACATAAAGCTAAGAGAGGACAGAAATTCTCTGTGAGCAGAATGAGTTGATCGGCAGATAAAGACGGGAAAAGATGTCCAGAGGGCAGCAGAGACGCCATGAAAGAGAAACCTTGCTGCTCTGAGAGGGAGATGCCTCTGGTCCTGCCAGTTTCCCAGGTTCCATTTGGGGCCTAGCTGTTGTGCCCATCTTTAAATTTCCATGAGATTCTCCACATCACTCCAATGAATGCCCTAAAGAGAGTTGGTGGTTATTGGCTTTGCTTGACTAGCAAGTTTTCCCACCCTCTTCTCCTAGTGACAGGCCCTGCCTCCCTGGTCACAGGAATAGGAATGTGACCCAGACATGACCAACTGTAGAACCCTGTTTCCCTAGACACACTGACTGGGCCAGGGATGAGCATGTGACCCCAGCTGGACCACTCTCCCGCACTCTTACACAGGGATGGCTGGGAGATTCGGCTTTCTCTTCTCTGGGGTTATTAATTTGAGACGAAGTGAACCCATCTTTCCCTGTGGCAGATGAAAGAACATGGGAGAAGCCCATCATTTTTTTTTTTTTTTTTTTTGGTGAGGAAGATTGTCGCTGAGCTAACATCTGTGCCCATCTTCCTCTACTTTGTATGTGGGACACTGCCACAGCATGGCTTGATGAGTGGTGCATAGGTCTGCACTGGGGATCCGAACCCGCGAACCCTGGGCCACCGAAGCAGAGCATGCAAACTTGATCACTGTGCCACAGGGCTGGCCCTGAGAAGCCCATGTTGAGAGGACAATGAGGTCACAGAAAGAGAAGCAGGGAGGGAGAAAGGCTGCATCATTGAGCCTCTAGATCCAGCAGTGCCTGAACTTCCCAATTACATGAGCCGATAAGCTTCCCTTTTGCTTGAGCTTGATTGAGTTGGGTTGTGTTCACTTGCAACCAAAAATCTCGACTAATCCCTTTTACCACACTGACATGAGTAGGCCTCCGTCCCCTGCCATCAAAGGATCCTGCCCAGACTCCTGGTTCAGTCCTTTTAAGAACTTTCCCTAGAGCCCTCTTTGGAAGGGTGAAGGAACTTGATCCTAGACTGTTCTTTCCACCCTTAGGCTCCCGGCCACTGCCTCTGTCATCCCTGTCACACCCTGATGCCTGGCTGGGTGCAGGGATCCCTGGCTCTCTGCATTCCTGTACTTCAGCCAGCACTTTCCCTCAGGGTTTAGCACTTCTTCAGATGGATAAGCTGGGAACAAACCCCTTCGAGTGAGCTCCAGGATCCCTGCACCTGAACTGCTGCCCCACGCAGCCCTGAGTCAGCATGCCCGGCCCTGTTGGCTGGTCTTTAGCAAGACCCGGGGGCAGATGCCACCTCCTCCACGAAGCCATCTCTCCCTCCCTTCACCCTTAGCCTGTCCCCCTCCCCTGCGCCTCCCTGCCACCAGGCAAGACCCTTTCTTCTCTGAAGCCACAGCTCATGGTTTGTTACTTCCCTTTACACATTCTGATTTGGATTCACTCTCATGGATGAGAAAACAGTGGCCGTGATGTGAGGAGACCTAAGTTCAAGTCCCAGCCTTAACCATTCTCTGAGCCTTCATTTCCTTGTCTTTTTTAAAAAACAGAGACTTAGGGGCCAGCCCGGTGGCGTAGTGGTTAAGTTTGCGCGCTCCGCTTTGGCGGCCCGCGGTTCGCAGGTGAGGGGGCGGTGTTCGCAGGTTCCTGGGTGCAGTCCTACACAGTGCTCATCAAGCCACGCTGTGGTGGCATCCATATACAAAAAAAATAGAGGAAGATGAGCACAGATGTTAGCCCAGGGCTAATCTTCCTCAGCAAAAAGAGCAAGATTGGCAATAGATGTTAGCTCAGATCTTCCTCACCAAAAAAAACCCGAAAGACAAAAACACGGAGACTTAACCACGTGCTTGGCTCAGCTGACAGGGACTCACATGGGAAGCTATTTGGTAACCATGATGGACGGTGTACACATGAGGGGCAAATTGTTTGAGGTTTGGGAGGGCCTCACAGAGAAGATAATTGAGACAGGGGAATGGGTGGACCAGGGAGGGGCAATGGCTTGTGCACAAGCAGAGAAACCTAAGACACCCCCTAGGGAAATGGGGGGCAATTTGGGGTGGCTCAGGAGCAGGGTGCAGGAGGTAGGGGGAAGAACAGGCTTCTGAAGTCAGCAGATGGCAGATCATGCTGGGCCTTGAGGGACTTTTAAGTAGCTTATCATACTGAGGGAAGAGGGGAGACTTTGAAGAGTCGACGCGGTTGGACTTGTGCTTAGGAGCATCACTCTGGTTTCTTGGATGGTGCGGAGTGCAAACCTGAAAGCAGGAGCTGGACTAACCTGGGCTAGAGATAGCGTGGGCCTGAGCGGGAAGTTTTTAGGAGATGGTACCCCAGGACCTGTGTGCCTCAAGGCAGGCAGAGAACAAGACTCCCCATCCCCCCAGTGCGGCTTCAGCTGGGAATAGCAGCCACAAGTTCTCAGTCTTGAGTCCCTCCTTAGGTTCACGGTTGCCCTGAGGCCAGGTCAGCCTCCTTCATCCACCTAATTGCTTCCCGCCATGGGAGAGCTGGCCCCCGCCAGCGTCCTTGAGAAAACCCTTGTAAAAGCAATCGAGTGTCTCAGGAGGAAGCAGGCACCTCCAGCTGCCACTGGCCCCAACTCCCGGCGGGGAACAGTGCCTCTCAGGCTACTGGGGGGGTGTTCTGAGAGGAACACTTCCCCACCCACTCCCATTCCCACCCCCGCCACATTTAGGTCAGTGTAGGGGGTCTCAGGGCTCTGGCCTGGGCTCCTGGGGACAGTAGGGCAGGTTATGCACTACACAACACCCCTGACCAGCAGGCCAGGTGGGGGCTGAAACCCAGGCCGTGTTCTACTTGCCACACTGTGCACGCTGACAAGACAAGGCTGTGTGTGTTCAGAAGAAGGGGTATATTGTTCTAATTAGCCCAAAGGTGCCATCCACGGGCCCAGCTGCAGACTTATGGGGCTGCTTCCACTCAGAGGGGGTGCCTTTTCTTAATTTGCACAAAAGGCACCATATAGACGAATTGTAATCCTGGCTCTGGGCTGTTCTCCCCACTGCCCACCATCCACTCATTTGGGCTCTTACAATGCCTTCCACTGGACAGAGGGAGAGACTAGGTTCCACAATCTGCTGCCATTAGCTCCCTTCTGGGGAGACTGCTCTGCCCACAGGCCCCACGTATCAGCGCTCAGTCTGGCCCCTGAAGCATGGACCAAGGGCTCCCACCAAAAGCTAAGCAGAACCAATCAGATTCCTTTGCTTGAGAACTGGAACTAAGAGACACAGAGGGGAGTTGTCAGTTGCTGGTGAGTCTTGGCACAGAGTTGGTGATGCTGCCACTTTGTGCAGGGAAAGAAAGGAAGTCTGAAGAGAAACCAAGGAAAAGAGCACAGGTGCAAATATTGCCAAGGGGATGAGAGCCCGTGAGGCCCAGAGATGAGAAAGGAGAGGCCTCATTGCCAGTTCCAGGGCTTTTGAGGCCCAGCCATCCTTGATTTTCCCTCCTTCGGGTCCCTTGTAATCTGCTCACTCCTTTCTTTGAACTCCCTCCGGTGAGTTCCAGTAAGCAGAGTTCTTGCTAGAAGAAGGACCTCAGTCCCAAGGAGGTTCTGGAGGTACCCCCACTGGGTGAGCTCTCCCCCTTTCCCCTCACACCAGCCCTGTCCAAGCTTAGGGAAGAGTAGGAGCCCTTAGCACAGTCACACCTTTTATTCACTGTCAGTGAAAAAACACACAGCACAGGGTCGAACAGTGAGGGCAATCCCTGTAGGCAGAGGAGCAGCACATCTGAAGGGCACGGGGGCTACACTGGAGAATGAGGTGGAAGGCCCCCTCTACCACCTAGCCCCCCACCTCCCCAGGCCTCCACATTCCCGTAGCCTCCACCAAGCAGGAAGGGTCACATACTCTGGGAGGCCCGGTCCTGCCCCCACACTCTGGCAAAGGTAAAAGAAAACCCTGAAAATTTCAGAAAGAAAAATCTCATATTTTTCACTTTTCAATTACAGGATTGGAATTTTTTTTTCAAAAATGACGAATAAAATATGTAAGAAATGTATTCTCGCCCCTACAGTGATCTCTAAAGTCAGCACAAAGCCTCAGCCAGGGCGGATCTTCAGGAAATATTTGTTGCTTTAATACATTTTTGTGTAAAAATATTTACAGTGTCGGTTTACGACCCTGCCTAGAAACCCCAACCTATCCTTTTATTCTCTCTCTTTCCTTTCTCTCCCTGTCCACCCCCCGACTTTATCTCTGCAGCAGGATGAATTTCTACCTCATGGGACTATGCCATTGTCAGGAAAATATTTGGTACCTTTATTTATGGGCTTCCTTTTTCTTAACTTTTTTTTTTTTTGGGGGTGAGGGAGACTGGCCATGAGCTAACATCTGTGCCCATCTTCCTCTATTTTATGTATGGACACCGCCACAGCATGACGAGTGGTGCGTAGGTCCGTGCCTGGGAACCAAACCTGCAAACTGCAGGCCACCAAAGCAGAGCACACGAACTTAACCACTAGGCCACAGGGCTGGCCGCCTTTTTTCTTGACTTTTGATTTAGAGATAAGTTATATAAACCTGACCACAGCTCAAAGGACTGAAGTGGCCATCTGAAGTAGCCCTTGCTGATGATTTTGAGAGATAAGAAATAAGAGGCTCATCCATTAGCCCAAAAGGATGAATGAGGACAGAATAAGAAGGCGGATTCTGGGACCTGGCAATTCACTGAGTTCCTGCAAGAAGACACAGAACTTCAAAGGAGAGTTTGGACGTATCAGTGTTTTAACTGTCTGTATATTTTTGTGTCTATGTGAGTTATACTTCAATCTCTGCTAACCTTGTGCTTTGTGGCAAGTCCCTCTCAGCTGGGGCAGGAATGGGAGGCCTGCTTCTCTTCTCATGGCAGGGCCGGTGCTCTACCACAGGAGCTCCCAAGCACACAGTCTCTGGGACACTCAGGAGCATGTGGGAGCAAGACCTGGCCTGCCTGTGGCTCCTCCCATCAGCAGGACGGTGGTCCCAGTTCCTGGCCTGGCATTATGTGATCACACGGCTAGGCTCTCTGAGAATCCTTGCCTGACCAGCAAATATCACCCACGCGTATGTCGAGAAGCTCGGAGTGATCAGATGTACCCTCATGGGTAGGACTTGCCCACCAGATGGGAAAAAACAAAGACAGTTCTCTTAGGGAGGAAGATGGCAGTAAAGACAGTGCAAGAAGCTTCCAGGGTTCTGAGTCAGAGGCTTCCCAGGACAGCACTGACCCATTAGCTGCCCAGAAGCAGAAAACAAGATGCTTAAAAATGTGGGGACTTCAACCAAGCTCCTATTTCTTTTTAGAAGAACACAGCCTCAGAAACTTCTTAGCAGGAAGCTTGTAAAAGACCAAAACCAACTTAGCATGCCCCACGGTCAACCTCTGTACAACTCAGGGAAGAGACTCTGAAAGGAAGAAACCCTCTTAGACCTTTGGGTTCAAGTCTTGGCACTGTGCCACTTCCTGATTGTGTGCTTTTGCACAAGGGACTCCTGTCTCTGTGCCTCAGTTTCCAAGTCTGGAGAAAGGGAATGAAAATCGCTATTGCCCTAGGCTGTGAGGATAGAATGAGATGGGGTAGATGGCAGGCCTTTGAAAGTCATGAAGTTCTGTGTGATTGTGATTTAGGTTAGATTCATTGTTTGGGGGATAGGAACCCCACTTTGTAAAAAGCCTTCCACTGGAAGTCTCAGCTGAGCCAGGCTGTTGAGTATCTATGTATCTGTGGTGCTGATTGACAGCACAAGACACACTCAATGGCCAGCTCCAGAGAGCAACAGAACATCCCTCGAGGCACTACTGGATAAAAACCTGCTGGTTACTGCCAGAGGATGTGAATTCCCCAGCCTCACCATGTGGCTGGTCATAGGCAGAAGGACAGAAAGAGGGTGGCAACCCAGTCGCCTTGCTATCTCCAAGGGCAGCAAGAAGGAAGGTCCAATAGAGTTTGAGACCAAAGGGCAGCATCCCCAAGAGTTTCCACCTGCAGAGAGGGAGGGCAGGTGAGCAGTCAGAAGTAAGAGGCATCCTGCGTCTCTCTCCTGCAGATCCCTCCCACAACCCCGGACTCAGCAATCATTCCCTGCTCCCACCCTGAGCTGACAGCACCTGTGTACTGACTGTTTTCACCAGTGGTTCAAGAGGAAATCAACGCACTGCACTTCAAAGCTAATTTCTGATCACGAGTACAGTAGAAAGTAAAGCGAAAGACTTGATGAAGAAGCAAGATTAATTTTCTGGCAGTCAAAGCATGCAGCTGTATAGCTCATGGATCCAAAATCAGAAAGCAGACATCGGAAAGCAAAGCCAGTGCACTAGGAAAATGATGAATTACTTGGCAGATTTAGGATTTGGGCTTAGAAAATGCCTTTCAAATGGAGCATGCCCAGCAGATTTTAGGCATTTGGTCCATAAATGCAGCCTGGCAGCCTAAACAGTGGCCGGGTGGTCCTCTTCTTCTAGCTCTTTCTCTTCTGTAGTGGTGAAAGAACAAGCCTCTCCTTGAAACTGGACCAAATCCAGGAAGCAACTACCAAGATGTGGGAAATACACCTGTCTCACCCTCGGCAAACCTTGTTCTTCTGTTTCTGAAGTCGGCACACAACCCGAGTAAGTGCAGGATAGAGAGTTGGAAAAGATCATTAAAAAGGAAGCAGCTGAAGCAGCAGAAACTGCTGATGGTGGCAGCTCAGGACTTAGCCTGATAAGAAAAAGTGCTGTTTCGCAAATTTCATGGTCTTTTCTCTCTTTTTTCTCAGCTCTTTTTTCCCCCAGAAAATTAGCATTTTCTATATTCATTTAATCATTTTACAAGAAACCAAGTAATATAAAGTATGTTTTAATATCCTAAACTAATGAAATGACTTTAGCTCTTTTAAAGGGTACTAAAAAAATAAGTATTACATAAATTTCAATTTCTCGTAAAACTGCCACTCACCTGGTTCCTAGACTGCCAAACGCTATTCATTTCATCCTTCTGTAGCTCTGTGTGGCACTGAGCTGAAAGATTTAATAGTTCCTCTTAACCAGCCTTGCCACACTTTCTGCTCAACTGTGCTCGATGTCCCCATCTGAGATTCTGACCACTGGAAGTTTGCCTCACTACCCTATGAGCTTCCAGAAGGCATGGAACATGTCTTGTAAACTACCATATCCTTAGCACCTAGAGGTGCCTGGCACTGGACAGGTGCTCAATAAACGTTAGCTGAAGAAAGGACTGAATAAATGCTCCAAAGGCTGGGGCCAGAGGGGCCAGGTAGAGTCAAGGGAGCAGGGCAGAGACCACCTTTAAGGGATCTGGGTCCTCAGCAAAGAACAGACCCAATTTGGCCCTTTAACTGAGGTCTATGGGACCAATCCTATAAAGCATAACCCCAGGAAGAACAGAATTTCAAAGCAGAACCTCAGCCCCCCTCCTAAACCCTGCCTCTTGGGGCAAAAGCCAACTCCCCTATGCCCAGTGGGTCTTGGTTCTGGGCCAAGACTGGGGATGGGGCTAGACAACAGGATACCTGAGGATCTGTCTCTTTTCCAGGGTGAGGTGGTCCCTCAAGGACCTTGATTGAGGGGAGCAAGGGCTTGGGCAGAGGGTTGGGTGAGCCAGAGAGTGAGGCTGGAGTACCCCTCCCCCTGGGGAAGGGCCAGGTAGAGAGGTCATCAGGTCGGGAGGTGGCCACACCCCTCCTGGCCAGAGGCCCTGCCCCTCACCAGCCTCTACTTCTGCATGTCACACTGCAGCAGCAGCACAATGGATGGGTCACTCTTGGCCGCCTCCTTGAACTCCTCCAGCGTAATCTGGTCATCCTTATCCTGGTCCATTTTCTTGAAGATCTTGTCCACACGCTGCTGGGGTGTGAGCCCATCCTGGTTCATGCGCATCATGATCACGGTGCCCACCATCTTGTATATAGCCTGGTGGGGCAAGGAGGGAGGTGTGAACACTCACAGGGGGCAGGGAGGATCAGGGGTGAATGAAAGGGCCTGGGGGGTGGGCAGGGAGAACACTGGGAGATGGTGAGGATACCGGAAGGTGATGTATGGTCATTAAGACTGGATATTTAATGAGCATCTCACATTAAACATATCTAAAACCCAACTCTTCACTTCCAACCTGCTCCGCCTCCAGCATTCCCTGTCTCAGTAAATAGCAAATTCATTCTTCTAGTTGTTCAGACCAAAAACCCTGATGCCATTCTTGACTCTCCTTCTCTCACATCACATCCAATCCTTCAGCAGATCTTGTCAGCCCTAATTTTGCAATAGGTCCCAACCACTTCCGACCACTTCCACAGCTCCTCCACGGTTGTCACCTCCATCGGCCCCTGACTGGACTGCTGTGGACCAGTCTCCTAACTGGTCTCCCTGCTTCTGCTGCCCTCCTAGCCCCTTGGTCTATTCTCCACACAGAGAATAGAGAGAGCCCTTAGTGGCTTCCCATCTCACTCAGAATAAAGTCCAAGTCTCAGACTATGAGATGCTAAATGACTGGGCTCCTGGCTACTTAGCTGATCACCTTCCTACCACTATCCCCTTCTCACTTCTCTCCTACCACCCTGGCCTTCTGGCTACTCCTTGAACACTGCAAACACAATGTAACCTCAGGGTCTTCACATTTATTGTTCCCTGTGCATAGAACACTCTTCCGCCAGACATCTACGTGGTTAGCTCCCTCACCTTACTCAGGGTGCTGCTCACATTTCACCTTATATAAAATCACTTTTCGTCCATCGCTCTCTCTCCCCTTACTTTGCTTATCTTCTTCATGATACTTACTGCCTGACATATCATAGTTTTTTTGTTGTTGTTTTTAAATTTTCTCACTAGAAGAAATGTCCCATGAAAGCAGGAACTTTGAACAGTGCCTGGCATGTGGCAGGCACTCAGTACATATTTGCTGGAAGAGTAATGAGTTGAGAACTTAGGCTCTGGAGTCAGACTCCCTGGATTTGAATCATGAATCACCACTTGCTCTGTTTCCTCCTCTGTAAAATGGGGTTTCTGACAGTACCTACCTCCCATAGGGTTATTGGGTAAAGCATTTAGCACAAAGCCTGTTTCACACTGAGCGCCCAACCAATCCTAGGAGGCGGGATGGGGGCAGAAGTGGGGTGCAAGAGGAGGCTCCTGAGGAGCGTGCTGGAGAGTGGGCAGCGAAGACAAGGGCGCCGGCCCCAGCCCAACCTGGCCTCTTGGATCCGCCCCAGCGCACCTCGATGATCTCCAGCATCTCGAGGCGCGTGATGCGCCCGTCGCCGTCCAGGTCGTACATCTCAAAGGCCCAGTTGAGTTTCTGCTCGAAGCTGCCGCGGGAGGTGACCGAAAGGGCGCAGATGAACTCCCGGAAGTCGATGGTGCCATCGCCGTTCTTGTCGAAGGTGCGGAAAGCGTGCTGCGCAAACTTGGAGGCATCGCCGTAAGGGAAGAACTGAGGCGGGGACGGCAGGGTCGGGACGCAGCGGTAGCTGTGTCTTCCCGGCCCTCCCCCGCCCGTTCGGCCCGCCCCCTCGAGTTGCCTGGCCCCGCCCCCGCCCGCCCACCTTGATGTAGAGCTGCTGGAACTCCTCCAGGTTGAGGATGCCGCTGGGGCAGTCCTTCAGGAAGCCCTTGTACCACTGCTTCAGCTCCTGTTCACTGAACTCCGTGTTCTGAACCAGGTCCTCCAGCACCTCTGGGGCCAGCTTGCTGTTGGTCTTCCCCATGGCGGGGCCTGGGGGACAGGGGGTTCCCTCAACTTGGTCTGGGGCAAGGCCCTCACCTCAGCAGCAGTCGCCCAAGTCCCTGAGGACAGAGTTCCCTTTCTCCACAACAGCTCCCTCCCATAACAAACCCCACATTCCCACAGCTGGGATCCCTCCTTCCACAGTAGGGTGGGTCCCCTTCCTTTCACCACCACACCCAAGGACATGTACCTTCCTACAGCTGGACTCCATCCTCCCCAATACCCCTTCCCACAGGAGCTCCTACCTCCCCTCCCGGCCCCTCTCCCCTACACGTAAGTGGGGATCCCTTCCCCTGGTTACACTCCCCCATAACGGGGCCTGCTCTCTCCACAGCAGGGTCCCTTCCCCTCACAGCACCCTGCACCCACAGCAGGCCCCTTCCCTCCCCTCACAGCAGGCTTCCTCTCCTGGCACCTAGGATCTCTAGCCTTCCAGGTCTCAGCTCTCCTCCTCCTCAGTGGTCGGGGCTGCACGCTACAATCTTTATCCTCTCCTGTCCTGTTTACACCTTCCATAGCTCCCCTTGGCCACAGAATAGAGTCCTAATCTTTTCCTTACTCTTCAGAGCTTTCACACTCAGCCCCCACCCACCTCTGCAGGCTCCTCTCCTACCTGGGACCCAAGGCGGGTCCTCATTGTGGCCCCCTGGCAACGGGGACACATCTCCCAAGTTCTTCCTCAAGGCGTTCCAGGCCACCCCAGCAGGAAGGTTCTCTCCCTCCTTCCTCTGTACAAATAGAAATCCTAGCTGGTAGCATTGATGACTGATTACACTCTGCTTTTCGTTAGTTCATTCCCTGAGCATTTATTGAGGCTGACTGTGTGCTAGGCCATGTACCACTGATGGGGACAGAAGCTCCTAGGGTTTTAAAGCAAGGGGTAGGAAGATAGCATTCATTCCACAAACACTTACAGAATGCTTACCGTATGTCAGGTCTTGAACAAGGTGCTGGGGACCCAGAGAGAAGCAATGTGTTTTAAAATTTTTCCTTTGGCTACTGTGTGCAAGATGACCTAGTGAGGGGAGGTAGGGAGAGCAGAGAGGGGCCTGCTGCATAGTTCAGGTGAGAGATGATGACGCTAGCGTAGGGGTTGTGGAGAGATGGGGATGGACTGAGAGATGTTAGGAGTGGGCATCGGCAGGACTTGGTGACTGATTGGATGTGGGGATGAGAGGACAGAGGAGTTGAGGCAGACGCTAAGATTTGGGGCTGAATGGATGGAGGTGGTGTTGCTGAGAAGTAGGTTTGGGGAGGACGAAGGGTCAGTCCCCAGCTGGAACATGAGCCCCTCAAGTGGCCTGTGCCAGGGGAAGTGTTTGCAGAGGGAGGTACTGGTCTTCCACAGGAAGCCTGGCTGGGATGATGCCCCATCAAGCGCTGAAGCCTGGGTGGACACTCCTGTCTGACTTCCATGGGAGGAATGTCCCTCCAGAGCCTGAATTTCCCAGGACATGGCCTGGGAGGTGACTCTGACCTGCCTAGAGTCTCTTTGGGAGGGGGCCAGACTCCAACCCCAGGGTAGCCTGTCATGAAGATACCCTGGAAAAGGAAGTCCTCAGGCTAGCAGAAAGAATTCCGCTTCCACAGCCCACCCCAGGCCAGTGTGGCTTCTAATCCTTACTTCTGGGAGTGCCCTAAACAACCAGATGGGAGATTGGTCTGTTCCATGCCCCCTCTCTTGCTGTGTGACCTCAAGCTAGTTACAGGATATCTCTGGGCCTGAGATTTCTCTGCTTCTTCCCTAAGGAAAATCAAGGAGAAGTAGGAGTGGCAATATCCTCTTCTACCTACCACCCCCAGAGGATGAGGAATACCACCCCCAGAGGATGAGGAATCCTATATGCCCCCAGGAGAAGCCCAGGAAGGGAAGGCATGCCATCTTTAGGGACCTGGAACTGTGGGGTCCAGAATAGTTGCACTAGAGTTAGAGTCCAGGATGCCTCTAGAATACCCATGGACAGAAGGAGGCGGGCTCCATCTCCAGCTGCCCCTCCCCAAGTCCAAAGGACACTGAAGGCTCAGGGTATAGTCAAGGAAGCTAGAGAACCCATAGGTGGAGGTGTCTGACGGGGGAGGCAAAGTCTCTTCCGCTGTCTCCTGTGGGATGTGCCTGAGTGTCTGTGTAAGGAGCTGGGTGTGTGTGGGAGGAACCTGTCAATGTATGAGACTGCAGATCTGTCAGCGTGCACAGCCTGTGTGTGTGTGTCACGGTATCTGTGTGGCTCTCACCTTCTGCCCCTTTTCTCCTCCCTGCTCGGTGCTGCCTTCCCACAATTCCCTCTTTCCTGGGGCCATACCTCTTCCCAGCCCCATTTGGTCCCAGGCCCACCAAGGACTATGCCTCCCCCTTCATTTCTCCTCATTCCCTCTACTGTTCTTAGATTGGCAAGGCAAAGCTGGCAGTGTGCTTTAATATCATCTCCTTATTTCAGTGAAAACTGGAACCCAGAGAGAGGAGAAAACTGGCTCTGAGTTACACAGCAGGCCAGTGGAAGATCTAGATGAGCACCAGGCTGAATCCATGCCACCTGCCTGGACCACTCTCTCCAAATCATGGCTACTCTTGTCGAGTATAGACCTTCCCCACTCCCACCTGCCTTCTGGGAAAACCACGGCTCTGATCTCCCTCTTGGCTTTAGTGGGACTATCTTGCTTGAGCTCTAGGCCATAGTGTCTGACACCCAGGAAATAGCCACCCTTCTGTGCGACCCACCAGCACCTCTGATGCAGCACATCTACAACCAGATTCCCCCTCAACCTGTGGTGGTCCTTCTCTCTCCATCCCCCCTTCCTTCCCTCCCTCGTCCCAGGGGGAAAATGTGATCTTGGTTACCTTCAGTTTTCCCCTCTCCCTAGGTCCAACTTGCCACCAAGTCCCATTGTTCCTTCTTTTGAAGTGTTCCTGGAACCTTCAGTATGTCCTCTCTCTCCCCATAGTCAGAGCCAGGGGCAGAGCCGAAGTGGCTGAAATCCAGCTGGGACACTACTTGCCAAGCCATGCCTGTGGGGCTCAACCGCCTCACAGGGCTAGCCTTTCTTCTGCTTCCTCAGTTCCCAGGGAATGTCTTGCCTGGTTTTGCCCAGACATACAATAGAGGTTAGAGGTGGCCATGCCCATGGGCCCCCTCAAACTTCAGAATCCTCTAGAATCTGGTGTCACGGTGTCCACCTGTCTAGCCTTACCTCTCACTGCTCCCCTCACAACTACATACTCCTTCCAAGCTGGGCTTCTCACAGCCAGGACCTACCTCACCTATTTGCTTAGCTGTTTTCTCCACCCCTAATATCCTTTCTTCTCTCCTGGGCTGACGCAGCTCTAATCAGCCTTTGGGCCTAGCTGAAGCCACTTCCTTATGATCAGCCTCTCCCAGCCCGAACAGTGGACAGGCAGCAGCATGGGCTCAGCATTTTGCTCAGCACGAGTAGACCCTGTGAGGCCGTGGAGTTGAGCCCCACAAATGTGTAGTCCAGAGCTCTGTGATTCTTGTTTGGTGCTCTAGAGTTCCAGAATGGGGACTTTTGTGGGAGATGCCTTTGCATTAAACCCTTGCCTGAGCCAGAAAAAGTTCTCCAGGCCTTTTTGCTCAATGGCAAAGAACTTATCCCCGCCCCCAATATGACCCAGTCTGCATCGGAGCAGCTCAGACAGTGAGAAAAGCGCTTTTCCTATTGTTCCTAAGTTTGCCCTCTTGTAGCTCCCCTACACGGGTTCCCACTCTGCCCCTTGTGGCTGCACAGACCTGCCCTGCAGAGACCTAAAGGCCTTGCCTGGAACACAGTGATGTTCAATGAATGTCCCTTGGTGGATTACATGAGACAGGCAGAACCTCCTTCTTCCTCCTTGGAATAGCATCAGGCTGTTTTGTTTATCTGTGTTCTGCCATTGCACCCACTTCAGACAACGGAACCCAGACTTGGGGAAAGGAAGGGTTCACCCAAGATCAACTAGAGCCCATCAGCAGCAAGGTGAAGGCCAGAACACACGGGGGGCATGTTCTGTTGGAGCTGTGGCCCTGCTGAACATGGGCAGGCTCCTCTGCTTACCTTTTGAGGGCTGCCTTCCAGCTGTGAAGGAGCTGGTACTGCCCCATACACAAAACTGCTGCCCCTCTGTGCTCAGAGGCTTCTTCCAGAAGGCAGGGCTCAGGGTTGTGGGCTTCAAATGGGGAAGTGGCAGTGAGGGTGGGAGGGACTAAAGGAGGCAATAATCCCACACCCTCGCCCAGCTTCCGAGGAGCTGGTGCTGAGACGGTTGCCATGGTGACAACAGCTCCCTGGTCAGGAGATTTTTCTCTCTTTCCTCTCCTCCCTTTGCTCTTCTCCAAGCAGTGGCCATAGCAGCAGCAGCCAGGTCTTCCCCCTCTTTCTTAATGAGGGGCAGGGGATGATAAACAAAGGGTGGACCCTGTTGACCACCTCCACCTTGGAGCTGTCCATGCCATGTGGGCTGGTGGTCTAGCAGAGACGCCTAACAGCTGAGAGGAGCCTGGGCCTGGAGAGTGTGTGGGAGGAGGTGGCCTGTACCAAGGCCCGGGTAAGAAGCAATGTCCTTTTGGTGAGGACTAAAGCCCCCCAGGCCTCCTCTCTGAAACATCCTAATGGTTCAGGGAAAGAGGAAAAGATTCCTGTTTTCTCAGAATCAGCCATAGAGCCACAGAGCACGTCAGTGTTGGAAGGCTGTTCAAGATCATCTCATCCAGTCCACCCTCTGTCCTGCCCACTTCCCCGTTTCATGAAGGATCAGAGAGGAAAGTGACTTGGCCAAAGTCAACAGCAACTGAGGCAAAGGCAAGATTTGAGCCCAGCTCTTTAGCCCTCCAGGTTCGGGCCACCTAAGGGAAAGGAGCAACACAGTCCACATGGGGCTTTGGCACAGGCCCTGTGGAGCAGTAGGAAGATAGGAGGGAGGGAGCGCGTGCACACGAGAAGGCCAGAAAGGGTGTGAATTAGAAAGATATTTGAGAGGTAGAATGAGAGGACATCAGTGCTTTGGCTGTGAGGGGTGAGGGGAATGGAGGAGGCTGGGAGGTGGGCAGCAGTGACTGACAGCTATAGGTGGTCTGCTGGGGGTGGAGGGGGGGTGTCCCTGGTTCATCAGCCAGGGTGAAAGAGGCCAAAGACTGAGATCATGGAGGGGGCTGTTGAGACAGTGTCAGGAGAAGAAGAACTGCAGGGAGAGTGTGTGTGGGGGGGGAGCTTCTTCCCTCCCCAGGTATGCTGTGAGCTCTGTCAGCTTGAGGGGTGGGAGGTGGGGACAGTCTGAGGGGACAGTCTGAGGTGAGAGTGGGCTCTCTGTGGAAGTGGAGGCTGTCTTTGGGGGCAGGGACCTTGATGTGAAGAGCGGTGAGCTGCTGGTGGGGCTGGGTGGCGTGGGAGGGGGCTATCTGTGGAGGTGGGAGGTTGCCATGGGGCTGGGTGGACTACCCATTTCCAAAGGAGGGAGGGGGATTGGTGCCTCCACTAGCACCAGCAACACCACACCCTCCGGAGTGTGTGTGTGTGTGTGTCTATTGGGGGCCAGAGCAGTGGTGTTCTTACCTGAGCTGAGGGTGAGGCGGCAGCTCTGCCTCCTTCCCTGGGACCTGTGGGGCCTGGACTGGGGTAGCAGTCCCCTGGCCAGGGGCGGGCCCTCCAGATGCTGCCGCCGATGTCAGAACCAGGGGTCAGGGAGATGAATTAGAGGGGGCAGGAGAGGAGGATGGGAGTGGAGAGTGGAGGGGAAGGGGACAAGGTCCTCCGCCTGGCCCCACCCGCATTACCTGAGGCCGCTCGCCGCGTTGCTGGATGACTCCGAGCCTCGGCGGGCCGCGGGGACCGCGACTGGCTGGCGAGCTGTGCACCAGGTTCCCCAAGGTCCGCTCTGGAGCCGCCTCCCAGTTCTTGTATCACTATGTGTCTCTCAGAGGCGACACGATTTGCATAAGCCCCGCCTCATCCCGGGCAATTTGGGCGTTGATTGGCTCCGCTGGGGCGGAGTGGCAGGCGGGGTTTCAGGTGGGGACCCGGTGGTCAGTGAGGCCCGGCTGCAGGAGTGCGCCCCGCCCGCCCACGCTGACCTTCCCGGAGTCGTGAGGAAGGAGGAGGGCTGTACCCCAATCTGTACCCGCCCTGAGGCTCAGACCCCAGGCCACAGTCTGGGGTGAAAAGTGTCTACGATTGACGTGGATTCGCAAACACAACCGCATGGTTGCTATGGAAACAAGAGAGCCACAGTCGAGTCTCTAAGCCTTCCCTTCCTGGGCCCCAGCGCGGGTGGGGATGGAAGAGGGGATGAGTCACAAGATGTGACCCTCTCCTCCATATACCACCCGAAATTGGAGGAGGGCGACGAGGATCTGCCGAGGAGCTGAGTCGGAGGGGGAAGAGATGGAGTGGTCAGCAACCTACGCCTTCGCATCATCTCCCCCCTCAAACACACCCTCACGCCGTGGAACAGAGAGCAGGGAGTGTGGGCGCGGAGAGCGCAGCACGTATGGCGAAGTGCCCAACCTCGACCTAGCTCCACGCTAGTCGTGGCCCGCCTACAGCCCCTAACTCCTATCCCTCCCCAGACAGGTCTTCCTTATTTCTCACGGGCCCCCAAGAGACCTCTCGGGATCTTCCCTAGAAGGCTCCCTCTGCCTACCCTGTGGACCCCTCCATTCCCCACCCTCCCGTCTTCCCTCCCGTAGACGGACCCGGTCCCCAGCCGCCGCCAGTCTCTTGCCTCGGATGTTGACACAAACCCGAGGCGGTTTACACTGAGCGGGTCTGGAAGCTTTCAGGGCCCTGGGAACACCTCCTTCCCGCTCTTAGGGGTCTCCCCAAAGCAAGACCCTGCCGCTCCGGCTGCACTGGCAGCTGAGAGCTCCCGACCCAAGGCGATGGGAAGGAACTCTTTTACTCCAAACTGGGGGCGAAGGGCAGCGGATAGCCTCAGGCTGGGCCACGTGCGGGGGAGGGACTTCTAGGCATCTGTCAAAAGTGGGGCGGGGTGCTGGGGATTGGTCGAATGGGAGCGGGCGTGCTGAAGAGCAGCGGGGGAAAGAGGCGGGGCTTCTGCCGGAGGAGCAACTGTGGAGGTGGGCGGGGCGACAAGGGGTAAAGACCAGCCTGCCAACAGTGGAGGCGAGGCTTCTCCCGCTGGTCCCAGAAACTCTCTGGCCAGGCTTGCTGGGGAGGAACGAGCGGAGGTCTCTCTTTTTCTTTAGGAACCGTCCCATTCCGTGAACCTGATTTGCTGTCACATTCTCCCGGCTGCAGGCTATGTGGGCCTTAGCAGGATGAGAGCCGTACCTGGGGCTCCAGTTAACAGGTACATCCCTGGCCCCTTTGGTTGGTGGCTCACGAGGGACAGGTGTTTGAAAGCCCTGACTCTGTCACTTCCCAGCACCTTCTCTGCTCTGGGCTCTGGGGACCCAGAGATGGGCAAGAATTCAACCTGCTCACAGACAACCATAATCCAAGGCATGAGGAAGTGGGAAGAGGCAGCTTGAGATGCCGGAAGTGGTATCTGAAACTCAAATGGAGCCTCATCTTTGCCAATGATGCCACATGTGACCATGGGCAGGACCCTTCTCTCTCTGGGCCTCCCAGTCTGTAAAATGTGAGAGCTGGTACCTACTGGAGGCCCAGGGGAGCAGGGGAAGAATTCCAACTAAGAGGGTGAAGAAAGACTGTCACCCTGGACAGAATTACGTGGGTATGAATCTGGCTGCCCACTACACCCGTGAGCTCCTTCACAATGGCTAACATATATTGAGAGCTTACGTTGTGCCAGGCACTATTCTAACATTTTCTATGCATTACCTAATTTATTCCTCATAGGAACTCTATGAGGCAGGTACTATTATCACTCCCATTTAACAGATGAGGAAACAGAGGCCCAGAACACTGACTAACCCAGGTTCACACAGCTAGTAAAGCTGCAGAGCTGGGATTTGAAGTCAAGCAGTCTGGCTCCAGAGCCCACACTCGTAGCCAGTACACAATACTGCCTCTCTTGTTTTTGTTTTTGTTTTGCTGAAGATTCGCCCCTGAGCTAATATCCATTACCAATCTTCCTCTTTTTGTCCTTTTTATGTGAGCCACCATAGCGTGGCCGCTAACAGACGAGTGGTGTAGGTCCATGCCCGGGAACCAAACCCGGGCTGCCTAAGTGGAGTGCACCAAACTTAACCATTTGGCCACCGGGGCTGGCCTAATACTGCCTCTCTTTAAGATCCTTCAAGTCCTTAGGGGAGGGACCTTGGATTGGAATATTCTTTTTGGATTCCCCAAGTCATTAGAAAGGCAAAGCCCAGCCTCCTGGGAGCAGCTTCTCTGTCTCTGAGGCAAATAAGACGTGGGGTTCCAACAGTAGTAGTAGAGCTGGTGGTAGTGAACACAAGGAGAAGCCCTCCTGAACTACAAGAGGGCCGGTGTGTGGCTTCTCCTGACTTCCCCATCCCCGGCCCTGCAATCAAGCATGGGATCTAGGAGTCACAGGTAAGCAGGGGAAGGAAGACAAGGGTCAGTTTGTGTAGCAGGATATATTGCTCCTACTCTGGCTCCTTAAACCAGGCAGGACCACCCATGCAGCCTTGCCTATGAATCATCTTGGGCCCTGTGACTGTTCTGGAACTGCCAGTCATAACCCATCTTTACCTGCTCTTAATACTTGAGACCCTGATCTTGGTCCTGCCTCTGCCCTCTCGGTTTGATATTTAAAGCAACAACATCTGACATTGACCGAGTTGCTTCACTATGTACCAGACTCTCTGCCCAGTCCTTTATCTTCATCACATCACTTAATCCCAGAAATGACCACTGCCAGGGTGATATTAGAAATATCTAACAAACTGTTCAGGCACGAATTACCAATCAGAACGCATGCTGGCTTAGTGGTACATCAAGGACTTAGTAGGTCTCTGTTCCGCCAAGAGTTAACACTTTAGTTACTGGATCAAGGTGAAAGGTAGGGAGGTGGGGGCCCAATGGCTGCTGCTATCTGTTTACCAATCAATTTGGAAGTATTTTGAGGTTTTTTGTTTTTGCTTTTTGTGAGGAAGACTGTCCCTCAGCCAACATCTGTGCCCATCCTCCTCCATTTCTTTTGTATGTGGGATGCCGCCATAGCTTGGCTTGATGAGCAGTGTGTAGGTCCGTGCCCCGGATCCAAACCCGCGAACCCCAGGCCACTGAAGCAGAGCATGCGAACCCAACCACTATGCCACTGGGCTGGCCCCTGGAAGTATTTTGATGTGTTAACAGCCAGTTCAGCTGTACCAGCGCATAGGGACTGAATTTCAGCCCTTGTATCATTACTTTATTTCATGGCAGTGGACGGAGGCTCAGACAGGTTAGACAACTTGCCCATTGTAATACAGCCCGTTAGCGACAGAGTTGGGATTCCAACCTAGGTCCGACTCCAGAGCCCACATTCTTAACCACTGACTGACCTGTGTTCCTAGGAAGGGGTAGTGTCCAGAACAGAGTCAGGGTTTCCACTGTTCTGCAGCTGAAGGCTGAGCCAGAGGAATGAGGTTAAGTTCTGGAAATTTGTTGTGGCCTTGCTATTCTCAGGCTTGGAGCCTTGGCAACACTGGTTCCACATTGTTGAAGGAGTGGGCCATGCAGAATGAGGAGGGCAGAGCAGGCTGCAGGGAAGAAGGAACAGTGTGGTGGTGCAGGAGGCCCCAAAAAGAGGCATGGAGGGAACTGAGCCCAGCAGGGTTTCTGGGAGGGCAGAGGTTTGCGAGCAGTGGCCACTTCAATCTGCTTCACCAACGCCTAGCATTCCTCCCCATGTTGGTCCCTAACAGTGCCTTCGTGATGGATAACGCCTTCCTGACTCCCTGGGTTTCCTCAGCCTTGGCTAGTGCAGCTTGGTGACAGCTGGAATTCCCCTGGGTCCTAGATATTTCACAGTCTTCTTTGTGTCTGGGAAAGAGTGAGATCACCAGCTTTGGGCTCCTTCCCTTTTCCTATTGGCTAAGCATGATTTTTTTTTTTTTAATTTCCAAAATAGAAATCTTTCCATTACCTTTTTACTTTTTCTTGTTAATACATGGTGGCTAAAAAAATGATACAGAGAGAGTGGAAGTTTCCCCATAAGTCTTCCCTTGAGCATTACCTGCAGGGGACCTTGTGTTTTTGCCTGCCCTGCCTTCCTTCCCCTTCTGCTGGAGAAGCCCTATAGTGTAGTGGGGTAAGTGCGCAGACTCTGGGGCCAGGCTGGCTGGGTTTGCATCCCAGCTCTATCACTTACCAGCTGTGTGACTACAGGTAAGTTGCTTTATCTCTGTGTCTCAATTTCCTCATCTGTAAAATAGGGATAATAATAACAGTATCTATTTCAAAGGGCTACTCTGAGGATTAAAATGAGTTAATATATGCAAAGTGCTTAAAACAGATTTTGCTTTGGGGAATTACCCAGCCCAGATTGTGTACAGTCTTGGTGGGACTATCAGTCCAGGTGTCCTGCTTGCTGTGGACAAGGGTTGGGCATGAGACTCAAGTAAGGCTAAATGGACTCGCTTGCTCTCTCTCCCAAGCTAATCTGAATCTTGAGTAAAGTGACTCAAGAATGGTACATGGTTAGCACTGGTTATCCCAGGGCAATGCTCTGATGATGCTGTCCATTCATTCCTGCTATCTGAATCCCCAGGCACCACTCTGGTTCGTGTCCTTTCCAAGACCGATTTCTGCCTTTCCTTTGGTTCTGTGAGTTACTTCCACACCCCTCCCCAAAATTTCTTTTCTTCTTCTCTTTTTTTTCTTTCTAACTTAAGTTACATAGAGGTGATTGCTGTTTGCTTGCAGAAATCATAGATGAGTTTGGCATACTTCTCTATCAGTTATGACTTTTGGTTGCAAGTGACAGAAAATCCAGCCCATGATAGGTTAAGCAAAAAGAGAATGTAGTGGCTGCAGTATGGGAAAACCCCAGGAGT